CTCCCTCTGGTTGTCTGTCACTTTGGGTCCCGGGTGTGTGATATGGGAGCCGAGGGAGGAGTTTGGCTGCTGCTCTGCCCGCTAATGATAATATCATTCAGTGTTGGGCAAGGAGACAGCAGAAGATTTTGATGCTTAATTACTGGGGAAAACAAAAGACTGATTTTCTCTACTTACACTACATTTAGTGGTCAGGTACGGCTGCATGGGCATGGCATGTTTGACCATTAGCTGGGGCCTGATTTTGCTGAATAAGAACAAAGTGGTTATGCAAGCAACCAAGCGACCAGAGTTCACACCTTTGTTGTCAGAATCTGAAAAAAAATTAGGAAATATAAAAAGGATATTAAGTTCAACTAATGTTTGAACCCATATGAACAGAACCCATATGGCGTAAACATCATTTGAGTACCTTTCATTACATCTTTCAAGATCATTACAGAATATTCTTATTAAATCAGAGATAAGAACATAACATGTTAACATTTGTACGTGATCACAAAATATGTGAAATAAAGAAGCAAAGGTGTCTCAGAGACATCACTAGTTTTAAACTACTTACTGTGCACAGAACACTGGCCTAAACAGTGACTCCTATTAGAACTGTAGGACATACTCGTGCAAGTAAAACCTGCTACATTTGTTTTGCCACATTTCTTTTGGTTTTAGTCATCTAAAAGTTTGAACACTTTACATAAGAAGTAGTTCTGTTACTGTGGTTAGTTAGTGAAAATCAGTGAAGCTTTATTATTATTATTATACAATGCTCAAAAGTTCATAACGAACTTAAAAGTAATAATTCATTAGCATAAGGTAATTCTCTAAGAGTAACTCTTCATAACAGTAGTTTGAACAACCACTGTTACAGTATCATATAAAATTCAAAGGAGTTTAGCTCCTGGGTTGTAAATAATAATACTACCTGATAAAGATTCCTCATATTTAAGAATGTGCTCAACCAAGTTGTCAACAAGCTGAGTACAGGCTTTCTTCACAGGTTTATATGAGGCATCCTCTTCTGATTTCAACAGCTGTAGCAGATGAAACAGAAAATAATATAGTATATTAAGGGTGTGTTAATTTACACTGGATATGGGCTGGTTTTATAAATTACTACAGATACAAAAGGATTTTACACTAACAAAGTATTTATTTAATTTCTCCATGAAAATTACATAGAAGAAAAAACTAATGATAAAGAACAAACCCAAAACGCAGAAGTAAAGAAAAATAATCCACAACTTAAAAGAAAAATAAAAAAAATAACCAAACCAAGCAAACGGAAGATTTTCACGTTGGGATGGAAGCTAGCTTTGTGCTTAATGATATACTGCAGAAAACAACAATGTAGTCATACTTGCCAGCAGTAATTAATAGGACTTAGAATGCTTTAAAAATGCTTAGGAAAAAGAAGAGCAAATTCAAAAGGAATGTTTTTGACACTAAGCAAAAATATTGAATGATATTGAAACAGTTTTATGAATAATTTTATCAGTTACCCTTCTTTCATATGACTTCAGGTACTGAAATTGTGTCCATGAAGGTCTTTTAATACTGAAGGTGAACTGAGACCATACTATATAGCCTTTTCTTCAGTGCAAGTATTAAGAAGGCTCTGCTCTACTTGGCTACCTATTTTCACGGCAGTCCAAGCTAAAGTAAAATCACAGAAGTTTTTTTGCCTGACAATTAACCAGTGCGTACAAAATGTTGAGAGGAATGATATTACAGGTTAAAAGACATAAACAAAGCAAGCTCAGCTCTTAGGGGAATCAGAGCAAAATATAAGGTAGAAGTAACCTATACTCTGAAGATGCCCTGCTTCGATATACTGTGTAACAAGTCTATTGGATATGAAAAGACACTTTACTGTTTTTTAAGAAAATCTACATTAAACTAGATGCCTCATTTCAGAATTAAGCATCTTAGCTGTGGACTTCATGTCATGACACTCATTACTGAAGGGACTATGAAATCAAAATCAAACAAAACCCCTCCCAAAACCAAGAAGGGAAGTATTTTAAAAACAGATCAAGTGGAAAGACATAAACTAATGTCAGAAACAAAGAAAATTGCACCAATGTAGATTAAACAAAGGTCAGATGTCTCAAGGGCATGAATTGAACTTTTCTGCTGCAAAAGATTGCTCTTGTAGTCCTCCTATGTGTTTTAGAAGCAAAAGATATGTTAAAATACTAACGATGGCTGTACCATATATTCAAAATTAATAACTTACATTTTGAAGAAGTTGTTCAAACCAATCATACCCTGTATCTCTACAAGCTGCAACCTAGAAGTATTTTTGAGAATAAACTGGTTAATAAAAAAGTCATTTGAGGAAAAATTACTTCAATGCAGATGTCATCTTAAAAGACCAGTAAATGTGCATAGATATATTTTCATATGCATTCAGTACAACAGTTTTATATCTTTGGAGATCCAAAACCGTATTCTGCATTGGAAAAACAGTTCTCACCATTTAAATTACTCCAGAATTTGTATTCCATAAAACACAAAGCCTACATATTTTACTAGAGATTACTGGCTTTAATGTAAACAAAATTTTGTGTTTATAGATAATTTTGCACAGATTAAAGCAAGCCTGACATTAAAAAAAGAATACATGTGTCTGTATTAAACCAAACCTTCACTAGTATGGTATGTTAGGAACAGCTAATGGGTGCTCCAAAGCAGAACTGGCAGAAGAACTGAGTTAAAGTTCTTCTTCTGAGTTAAAGTGACTGATTTCTCAGTCTAGTAGAATGCATGCCAGACTACCATTTTGTAAAAATACTGATAAACAGGATGAAGCTTAAACCAATAATTGTAAGTAATGAAGTGAGTACTTTTAATTGATATTTACATCTTGATTTTATTGATATTAAAACACCTTCTCTTTACAGTGGTTTTAAACAACACATTTTCACTACAAATTAAAGCATTTTATTTGAAACAGATTTTGTTATTTTGGAGATATCTATTTAATTTACTGTTCCTTAAAAAGAGGTACAGCTATGCCAATACTACTTTACCATGAGTGAGAACATTACCCTGTATTTAATAAAATGGTTTATTAACTTTTCAAAATAAGGTTATAATATAAATTTGTTGTGTTGTAACTGAACAAGTGTTTCATATAACCTGCATATGGCATGGTTCCAGTAATCATTGCCAGCAAATTAGTGAGCATTTAAAATTTCCTACATCCTTTTCCATCAGATGAATGAATTTGGTATATCAGTGCCAGGAGATATAAAAAGAAAATGATCTGATGATTAAATTACTGTATGCTAAGAAACTACAGAAAATATTTCAAAGATACTAAAAACATAAGCAAATTTTGCACACAACTTAAACTTGTTTAACATACCACATCAGTGATGTTCAGTATTTTCCTTGTCATTGCTTCCTTGTCGTGATGTGGTGTTGGAGTGAACCAGAGCTTCTGGAATGTCTCATTTACTAATTTCTGAAGGAAAAAAAAAAATTAGCATAAATAAAAAAAAAAATATTAGCTGAAATAAACTTATCTTGACACACGGTTATTACTTCTAATACATCCATACGATAGATTTGCTGATGATGCATGCCACATTGTAAGGAATTATTCAATCAAAGTGAGACTGTTACAGGAAATGTTACCTGAGACAGATTCAGAGCTACCATTACAGGAGTTGTATTGACCTCTAGGCAAATTTCAGCAAAATGATCACTAGGAACTGATACTAAAGAAAATGAAGTTAGCACTTTCCTGAGTTAATGTGCAGTCCTCAACAAAACAGCTGTCTGAGAAGCTGAGAACTGAATGCAAGATCATGATTCTACAGCAGAATTTGCAGCAACAGCAGGTTACATTGGAGTTTGTAAAACAGCTGTGACAAAGTGGGAAAGAGGAAGAAGCCAAGTCTCCATTCCCAAACATAGGAAGCACACTCCCAGTGTTTTTGGATAGAGGAAAAAATGGAATAGAAGTGTTTTGTTCACTTTCAAATTAATTATAATTTACATGCCTGTAAGAAGCTCTCCTCAGTCATGGAAACAAAAAATACATTGAGGATAATGCCTCATTTTATCTGATGTTTTTATAAAGACAAGTGGCATAAGTAGAGGGAATGAGGTCAGAGTCCCTTCCCAGCAGCACCCTGGATCCAGCTGAAGATCTACTTCTTGACTGAGTCTTCTCAAAAAGCCACTTGGCATTCACATATCTCGAGCGTAAAAACAGATGCTGCAACTTTAAAGTTGCACATTTCAAATCCTACTGAAAGTGTGACACTTGTTACAGGCACGTTCTTAATCACCCAACAAGTTTAAAATTATTTTGCCAAATTAAATAAAGACATCATTGCCAGGTTTATAATTTAACACAATCTTGGTTTCATGACTTTGTGCATATACATTGCACAAAGAGTAGAGTATGATCACACAAGTAATACTTTAAGGGGATGAACAGATTCATTGAATAGTCAGGTTTAATGAAAAATTAGCACAGAAGAATACTTAAAAATTTTTATATACAGTAAATTGTGACTTAAAGCTTATTTTTTTCTCAGAAAGAAATTTTATATGCCAATTTTGCATGCCAGTGTTAGTTGTTAAAGTATTAGAGACATCACTTGCAAGAAATAAAAAAAAAACTCCAGAAAAGAACTTTCATAAATCTTTTCTCAGCAAGAACTTCCAAGAAAATAGATCAAAAAGAAAGAAAAATAAGTCAGAGAACATTTTAGAAAGCTAAGGTATCTGCTCACAAATTAGAAGTGAATAAAAGCCATACATATTACAAAACAGCAATGCAATTTTTTTTTCAAAATATAGAAACACTGAAATAACAGTAATTACAATACTGAAGGATATGTTTCATTTCACCTTAATGCCTTCTTCATCATTGACTCTCCGAATCATTTTCACACACATCTCTGTAATTTTTGGAAATGTCGGTTGTTCAATGCAGATATCCCTAAGTATCTTTATGACTCTTTTTCTGACACTGATACCTGTATCCTGTGAAGACAAAAGCATTACACTCTTGAAAATAAATCAAAAATATTAATTTATGTATTCTATGATTTAATATTTGAAGGGCACCCAATTTGACATGCAAAACTTATTTAATAGTTATTTTCCTGGGCTTCTAAGAAGATGGATAAGAAGTTTTACTACATATTACCTTACTCAAATGTGTTGAATCAATGTCAGGATTAACTGCTTTATGCATACTTACATGCAGAGGAAGCTACTTATCTCCAAAACCCTTCACAAACATGTTTTATCATGTAACTACAGCAAATTAATAGTATTTAACCAAAAAACTGACATGGATGCTAAGAGCTAGTGTTATCCTACAGTTAAATTAAATTTGTATTTTATCTGAATGTCCAGAGAAAAAACAGTTTTTGTATAAAAATTCTAATAAGAAGCTTTTTAAAACACGAAAAATAGCACAGAAAAGTGAAGTAGGTGTGGGTTGGTGAGTTTTTTATTATTACAAACGGCATCTTTAGATTACTGTGTTGTGGATGTTTCTTCATCATCCACACTACTCAACTGGCCTCAGTTACCTGTGCCTCCGACTTTAGAGATGTGGCAAAATGCCATATTTCTCCTAATGTGCCTTGATAATGGAATCAAAAGGAATGTAATCTCTGTTCTGATATGGTAAAAATTTCTGTATATGTTTACCTTTTGATGTAACAAAGCTTCACTGGAAACAAGTGATGTATTTTACCAGGTGGGCCCTAAAAGCACGATGCTACCCATTAAAAGAATAAGATATAATTTACTCTTGAGGCCACTGTTCCATAGTGTTAAACATATAAAAGTCAAAAAACTCATTTTTCCAACATCTCTTATTTTCTCATAAATATCACAAGTCACCCTACCAATATTCTTTCAATCAGCATGTCATAATACTGCTCAGCCAGCTGGGGACGACAGAGCACAAACCGGCCCAGCAGCTCCACAGCTGCTTCTCGTACACTGGTGGAGTTGTCCATTAACCGCCCATGCACACCTCGTTGCATATCCAGCTAAAAAGGAGACAGGAAACACAGATTCAACATAACAAGAAGTATTTATTTTAGGTGTGACGGAAGAATTTAAGTGCATGATGGGTGTTTCCTTTTTTACCCTGGCTAGAATACTGGGGTCTACAGCAACAACCTCAGACAAACACTTCATGGCTTTTGTTCGAACAGCAATTGCATTTTCACCAAGTACACGAAGAATCTAACAAGAGAACAAAAATAAAGATTCAGTTGCAGTGAAATGAACAATGTTTAACAGGCAAAAATGCAGCACATTAACATGCAAACAATTTAATATATCTTCTCAGGCAGTAAAAAGGTACATGCAGCTCATGTTCCTTGGCACTGATAACCAAGCATGGATACTTACTAGCATTTGCTACATGTCTAAGACTGTTTTAAACAGGATTTACCCAGGACATGTATGTTCACTTTAAGTCTACTTTCGTAATTTAATTCTGTCTTTCACCAGGGTTCTTTAAATAGGACAGCTGGTTTTGGGCACTATGATTTTAGGAATAATTCTGTATGCACAACAATTTAAGTAATGAAACCTAAACTAGTGCTGGAGTTCAAACACGTCACTGTGCCACCATCTTAGTGCTCTTCTCCCAGAAAAGCAAAGAAACAATGCTGGTCAAACAACAGATTCCAAAGTGATGGTAACATATACAGCAAGCAACTGACCAAACTGGCTTAGATTTTCAATTCAAATTAATCTCCATCTCATGAGTTAATATTACCAAACGAGCATGCATCTTAAAGTAGCAAAAGTGTTTGGCAATAGAAACCAGCTGTGTTTCCCTGTACCAAGACTCTCAGCACAGTTTACCTGTGTCAAATAAATATCGAAGCTCTGGGCAAACGGCCTCATAGAGGCCAAGTAGCGAACAATCAAACATGCATCTTCATAGTCCACAGTATCAGAATTCATCCTGCAACAAATTCCGTGTGTTAATTAGGATGTGTTTATAAAAAATGATTTAAAACATCAGATGCACAGCTAATAAGGAAATGCATGGTACTGAAACATACTTTAATGTACTGAACTGAGATGGAGCAGTTTTAATGATGCTGCGAAGGAACTTTTTGCGACTTTCTGCTCTGTGCATGATTTGTCCTGTGGTTTCAACATCTTTTGCATGATGACTTCCTTCAGATGAATCCTCATCCTTCTGAGATTTAATTGCTTTCTCTGTCTCCATAGTTGTATCACGGAACCACTGAGCAACATAAAACTTCCGAGAAAACTGGACAAATACAGGACAGAAAACAGAAACAACAGATAAAGAAATGGAAAATTAGCAGACTTATAACGAGTTTAAGTGACTCTAATGCATCAACAGTATTTTGGAAAACACTATCAACAGTACATGTTAGGGTGACAATTTAACTGAGGCACTAACATGCATAATCAAAAATCATTCTATTCAGTACACGTTATTGAAATTATTTTTATATACACTTGACACCAGAAAGCTGAAATTTACCACCAATGATGCATCAGTTTCTGTGTTGTCATCCAGATAGTCTAGCAAAGCCTTTTGCAGCTGCTGAATTTCATCTTCTCCTTCCGAAACCTGTCAGAAGAAGAAAAGATAGTTATAAAGGAGAATACTGCACAGTGGTAATTATCATCCAAAAATATGCACATCCACATATGAAACACACTGTGTTGTACATATACCAGTTGTTTTGATAACTGTAGAACATTAACAATCTTTAGCCAATTTCTTATAAACTGCATAGAGACCGGAACAAATCAGACTGTGACTCTTAAGTCTAAAAAAGATTAAGAGCAGAATAAGACTGATTTTGAAACAGACTGACTGATATGATTAGTCTTCATTCAGTGATCCTGTGTGAAGGTCCTCTATCATGTAAGAGGAAAAAGGGCTGAAATCACAGGTAGCAGCCTGACACAAGGTTTAACCTATGAAAGTCACCATTAAATGTCTGACCAATATTAAATACTAAAAAGTGACTTCTCAGATGAAAAAGGAATAAAAGGCAAAAAAGTAAAATGAAAGAAAATATGGAACAGACAGCAGTAAAAAGCTTTGGAAAACATCAGAGACATAAAAATAAATATATATTTGTGAAAATATTTGGTATAACTGTTTTAATACATAACATCCACTCAGAGGAAGCTCACCAAGTGTGTTCAGTCCCAGAAAGTGTTTACAGAGGTTTTCCCAAACACCCCTGAGCTCCAGAACTAATGAACCATGCTCTCTGAGGTTCAACTAAGTTTGTATTAGTCAAAAACCTTGAGAATAAACCTGCATTTTATAAAATGTCACTTACTGCATAAAACCTATTTACAGAATAAGGTGATATGGATTTTTCTGTAAATCACCTTTAAGATGCAGAAAAAGCATTACATATGAAATACTCATCTGAAAACTTGTGCTGGAGACTATATGTGAGACTGATATGAATGTTATCATCTAAACTGTATGAATGTTAAAAACAGAACGTATTTTTCCAAAAGGCTATTTAATAGGAAATATTTCTATTTCCTCTATGTAGATAGGGCACATGGAGGATGGAGAGGTGACTGGAGAGAACCAGCGTGGCTTTACCAAGGGAAGTCCTGCCTGACCACAACCTAGTGGCCTTCTATGATGGAATGACTACACCAGTTGCCAAGGGAAGAGCTATGGATGTCATATGTCTCTGGAATTCTGTAAGATCTTTGACACAGTCCCCCACAACATCCTTCTCCCTAACTGGAGATATGGATTTAATGGATAGACTGTTTGGTGGACAAGGAATTGGCTGGATGGTCACATCCAGAGGTTAGCAGTCAACACCTCCACATCTGAATGGAGGTCAGTGACAAGTGGTTTCCCTCAGGGGTCTGTATTGGGACCAACACTGTTTAATATCTTCATCCATAACATAGACAGTGAGATCAAGAGAAGGACTTCAGGGTACTGATGGATGAAAAGCTGGGCACAAGCCAGCACTGTGCACTTGCAGCCCAGAAAGCCAACCCTATCCTGGGCTGCATCAAAAGAAGGGTGGCCAGCTATGTATATCCTAATCTCTTAAAATAGTGCTAGCTCATCTAAATCAAATAATAATCTTATATATGACCACAAGACAATATACTTCTCCCCATATACGTTTTAGAGAACAAATCATAGACTCATTGTATGGCTTGGGTTGGAAGGGACTTTGCAGATCATCTAATTCCAACCCCTCTTCTATGTCCAGGGACATCAATATCTATAAACCTATGCATGAGTCAGAAACTTTCTCAACATCTACAAGACAGCATAAAACCAAATCCACATATGACTTTTTTTCCCCCTTAGTATTATATTAAAATACACAAGTCCTTTTCAGTTGCTGACGTTACAGCAAACAAAAGGATTTTTCTTTAAAAATGATAAGAGTTTGATGTTTCTAAACATGTCTATAATGCCCTTAATACTAGTTTTATATGTACACATTTGACACCCTAATATATGTGCACATTGTGATTTGAAATTCTGACCTTTAGCCCATGTTAAATTCTGTGGATAAATGGCTGAATAAAAAGGTTGCTTGAAGTCTAGCTGCCTAACTATTTTTAAACAAGTAAAAAACCCAGAGCAAAGAGGAACTGTGAAGCCCATAACTAATTGTGTTCAGTATCAATAACAGAAGAATAACTACTGGCTTTAAATTCTTAAGATACAAAATATTTTCTTCAGCAATAAAACTTGTAATTTATAACCATCTTCTGTACGAACAGCACCGTTTGAGTATTTCATCACAAACACAGCAGCACATAATACAGCTTCTAACCATCAGCAAGTGGACAAAGGTACAGTGACAACAACAGAACAACAGTATATCAGGAGATAAACTAATGAAAAACATGCACACAGGTTCAAGTCAACTGGAAAAAATGCAACAGATTTCTAAAAAAAACCCCAGCAAAACTCAAAACTAAACAAGCTGCTTCCCCCAAGCAATAAAAAATGTTTGAAAATACCAAAACAGAATAGATTTTCTCTTAGACCTAATTCTATGGGTCATGAGCCTAAACCACAGTAGAGAGAGTTACAAGCATTCATCAGTCATTTGGGAATATCCTGGTTGCTCCATTATTTCCTCTGTATTGTCACAAGAAAACTGGCTTAACCACTGTAATTAACCACTTCATATGGTCACTACAGAGGTGGTGCAAGGAAGACTTTAGTTAACAAATGTGATCTTATAAATTGAATATATTTGATTCAGAAATCTGAACAATGAAGACTTATCCTCCACAATGCCATTTTTTCAAGCATCTTTAAAAGTTTCAAGTATTTGAATAGACACATCTCAATCCAGCTGGCACATGATTTCTCACACACCTGTTTGAGGATTCTGGCTATAGATCCTTGATCCATTTTGCTAGTGACTGCATCTTTCCTCAGTCTTGCAGCTACAGTTCCAAGATAGTCAAGTGATGCAACTCTTAATGCCATTTCTGTAGATTTGTTACTGAACTGGTGAACCTAAGAAACAAAATAAATTGTTATAAAAAAGTATTTATTTATGCAACTAAGTTTCCTCTCCAAGAGACTGTCTGACCTTATAAAAAATTCCACCTAACTTCCATGGTTCATAAAATGATGTAATTTACTATCACATCACAGATACACAACTTAGTTTACCCTTAGTTTCTTCCTTTATTGATTTTCTTTTACCTCTACAAATATGCTCGTTAAAGGTTTTAAAATATATTTTTTCATAAAATAAATGACAACTATTGCAGCAGCGGATATCCTTTGCAATAGCACAGCTCTCAGGCACCCTTATGCACCTTCTTAACTACACAGAATCACAGCATGTTATGGGTTGGAAGGGACCTCTGGAGGTCACTGAGTCCAGCCCCCCTGCCAGAGCAGGACCATCTAGTCTAGGGCAGGTCACACAGGAACACATCCAGATGGGTCTTTAAAGTCTCCAAGGCAGGAGACTCCACAACCTCCCTGGGGAGCCTGTTCCAGTGCTCTGTGACCCTTATAGTAAAGAAGTTCTTCCTCATGTTGAGGTGGAACTTCCTGTCCTCCAGCTTGTTATTCACACAACTATAAGGATCGCTGTGTTTTACCAGGAACAGTACCATGAAATATATTTCCAAGAAACAGCTAAATTATTGTGTTAATTACATTATAATTCTGAAGAACCACTCTCAAAAAGCAAATCAACAAAAATGTTCACATTCTGCCAAATATCGTAAGTAAATATTATTACTGGTAAACAATGAAACCACTTAATTCTTTTCTGGTTCTGTGCTAAAGGAAAAGTCCAGGGAAGACATCTAACATGAAAAATTACAGCTAGTAGTCTGACTTTTCTACAAATGTATATCTACACTTATTAGATACCACTGGAACAGGTTGCCCAGAGAGGTGGCAGATGCCCAATCCCTGGAAACATTCAAGATCAGGTTGGACAGGGTTCTGAGCAGCCTGATCTAGTTGGAGATGCCCCTTTTCACTACAGGGGGGTTAGACTAGATGACCTTTACAGTTTCCTCCCAAGACAAACCACTCAGTGATTCTGTGATATTTTTTTTTAATGTTGAAAATGTCATGGAACAGTTGAAATGGACTTCCATGAGAACCTTTATATCATTATGATCTTTAACAAGTTCCATATCAAAGATCCTCTAACCCAGATTTTATTATCTGTGTATTACTTACTAACAGTACAGTTAAGAAAATCCTTAAATGCTGCATGCATGTCAACAATCATAAAGCATCCCTGTAGTAGTTTCATCTGAAAGAAACAACCTTTCATTGTAGCAAGAAATTAATTAATATAATAGTTAAAACCAAGAATCCCTTACCAGTAGCCTTCCTAGCAAGCTAAGTAGCAACTCTGCAGCTGGCCACTCTGGTTTATTGACTGTGGAAAGAAGATCTTGAATGAAGTTCTCAAACAGTGGCCTGTAATCTTCTTCCCCTTGCTTACTGCCACACCTTTTTAAAAGAAATTGGATTTTTTAAACAAATTTAAGAGATATTTAAGCTGTTCTTCTGACATAAACAGAAGAAATCCTATGTTTAATCAAAAAAAGTTTTATGCAATTCTAAAAAAAAAAGTCCCTGAAATCTTAGCAGAAAATTTGTTTTGTTCCTTTGCAAAGAAACAGTTTGCACAGTTATCATTCCAAGTTGCACTGCTAGTAAAGCAGCTAATTCACAATGGTAGTATTTTGTTCCTAAGATTTTTATTATTTATTGGTTTGAGTTAAAGTCTGCATTAACTTGGATGGACAAAGGAGGGAAAGCCGTAAAGCTCAAGCCGGGGTTGGGTATTTAGGAGGTGTTCCCTAAACTTGGTCTGATAGTGATAAGACATCTCAGCATTATGCTGCACAAAGGTTAAAATCCGAATGTAAAAACAAATCCAAGGTAGCATACCTGATAGTGTTTCACTTGTACATGGCATCCCTAATTTTAAATATACCAGAACTATGCACAGAGATTGCTAGATGGCTATTAAAAAGCCTTCCAGCATAAGAGTAGAAATTAACACAATAAAAGCCTCAGGATTTACTCCTAGAAAGCCTGTGGTTATTTAGGTACACTATTTTTTTTTTCTAGTTGAGCTATTGACTTGAGCTAAATGAGTGTAATTTGTAGGTGTTTTTTTTTACATCTTTGCCATTCTGATGACTGAATGAATATAGTTTCAATTCTTTCTCAGCCTTATAGCCTAAGCTTCAGATGAGTAACAAAACTCTAATAAGAGCATCCTACATGAACAGTCAAACAGATTCTGAAATGTACAAAGAACTCCCTGCAGAGTTTCTGTTCCATAAAAATTTTTCCCCAGATGGGTAGCTCTCTTAGGGATCCATATATTATTATAATTAACTTTATGAGTAGGAATTAGCATTGACAAGTGGATAGGTTTGTCATGTCTCACGACACACTTTATTTGGAGTTAGTTGTTAATGACTACAACAGTACTTACTTCTTAAGGAAAATAGAAAGGAAGTTTTGTGCTGTTCTCATAGCTGTTTCATATGAGTTAGTAATAAGCACATCTTGATCCACCTAAAAATAACAAAAGATATTTGCCTATTATTTTAGCACAAACAGATGCATGATTTCCAGATCAACATCTCTCACGTTCAAATAATTACAGCAGACATAAAATTATGTTTGATTATTAGAGCACTATAATAAAATACAACTATAAACACAGTCATTCCTGCACCAAAAAAAACCCTGACCATACCCAAAACATGCCTTTTAAAAAATATCTTACTTTCTTGTTTGATTCCTCCTCTGAATTAGAATCTTTTTCTGCTGATGGTAAGTGCACCACACACTGAATCAGCTGCAGAACTAGTGCTGTTACCATTTGAATATACATAGGCTCTCCATCAGTGTCACTGCTGTTTAACCTGTTAATATGAAAAGACAGAATTAACACCAAAACTAAACAAAAAAGAAAAACTATGGTCTTAAATAATGTCTTTCTAAAATTATTACCACAGCTTGAAATCTGTTTTCTAGACATTTATCTAGGCATTTGTTTCTCTCCTATGCAATGCAGGATTTGGTCTAACAAAACCAGTATTATTCTCAGCAGAAAAGATGAACTGAAACAAACCACAGATGGGCTGTCAGAGTATCTGTGAAGTCCAGCAGCCAAAAATTCTACAGGAATATTTAATAAATCAAACACCTACATGCTAAGGCACTTACTAATAGACTTATGCATAATGCCACTTGCATTTCCAATGTAACACATTTCTGTTATTAAAAAAAAAAAAACCATGAAACTCTTGGCCTAATCATTTACAACTTATAGATTATTTAACATACATGCAGGACTCTTAAATAACAGAAAATAGTGACCGTGACCTGCACTGATTTCTACAATAGTTACATCTTTGGTAACATGAGGTAACTCAACAGACTTTATGTGTCTTTTAAGTTGGTAAGACTACTATGAATGTACTCCATATTTCTCCCATGACATAACCTCAGAAATAGTACGATGTTTACCACCCATACCTGTATCAACACCACCTACTGCTACAATTAACAATATGAAAAGGTGATAATCCCTGACAACATACATTCTCCTGAAATTATCAAAATACTGACTGGGCACAAAACAGACCGTAATTATTATGTTTATGTTATCTTTGACTAATTTTAGAGTGAAAAACTTCTCTTACTAAATTTTGTGTAAGCTGTACCCTTAATGACTGTAGTCACAGTTAGAGAATGCCCTTTAACAGACTAGCATTAGGGCTGTACAAATAAGCAGTGCAGACATTGTGGCCTTAAGACAGCAACTTTATTCTAATAAAGGTCTTAATTCAGAGTGTATCTACCATTTATGCCACCTTCCTATTTGTTAGATCTTTCTGATGTCTATAACCAAAACAATAGGAAATAATAGGATCAAGCACTTATGGTAGCATTTGGGTCATTGAATTTAACTTCAGAATTTCAGTATATTTCTTTTCCTGTTCATCCACTCTGTATCACACAAAATATTTAACTGACAATTTGTCTGTCTCTGGGGGCAAGATGCATGCAAGCAAGGAACAAGATCAACAGTAACAACAAATATTTTAAATTAATTTAAAGTGTCCCAACCTAAATTTTAACTGAAATTCAGTTCAGGTCAAATTCTTTCTCAGACTGAACCTAAACTTATACTATTATTCTGAAGATGCACTGAAATCCGGCTTAAGTCCTTAAAAGACAGTTAAAATGAACAGAGTAGCTCATAAATGAAACTCATTCAAAGAAATACTAGAATGATTTCCTTCCTGGAAACAGTGTGTCCTCAAAGAAATGCAGCCACAGTCTTCCTATTAAGTGTTAGCTTAATATGTAACTCCATATAAACAGAACCAAAGGATTTTCCAACAAAACTGCTCTGAATGTACACAGACATTACACTCATTTACATCCTTAGCATGACAAATAATAAGAAATTTTAATTACTTTGGTAAGCAGACAAAAATATAAAGGCCTAAGTAACAGTTATGACTATAAGACACTTGTCAGGTCATTCTGGTCTCCTTGTTTTGAAACACCAACCTCTAACAAAGTCCAGCTTGTGGAGCTGAGGATTTTAAAAGCTATTAATACTGAAGCCTAAAATCCTACACCTACAAAACTGTAAAAGCTACTGTCTACAAGTTATTCATATATGTCAGACATTACCTGAAGTTTCTCAAACTCCTCTTGCTAGTTGGTAGTCTTGCAAGGGAAGTGAAAATTTCTTCTAGTATTAACTGTCTGTGTTTTTCATACCTAGAGAACACCTATTTAACAGTTACAGGATCATTAGAAAATTGATAACATAAAATATTACTTGTTAAATACATTGCTAAAAGTTATGTATGGAAACACACTTTTTACATGACACTTCAATGAATTATAATAAATGCATACTGTGTTTTTCATGCATTACTTTGTTATTTCAAAGCAAGTATTTCTTCATAAAACATGTAAACCTTTTCCAAATACAGAGTTTTAAAAAAAATCTTCAATTAACATATATTTGTAATAGCTCTTTAAAATATCTTATGTTTTTAAAATCTCTGTCAATGGTAAAATACACTGTATAGGAAAGTCAAACAGTGTAGTCCTGAGCTTTCAGACTCCAGTACAGAGGAAAGCTCTGTGGTAATACAAATTACCGAAAGATACATATGGTTTTATAGCACATTTGGGAAACCAGCTTTACTTCATATCCTAATTTTTAATGTTTGTCTGACATAACAAAATCTCTCAATTTACAGGGTCAGGATTGTGGAGTTTGCCTTTCCTTTTGTTTAGGCAGAGTAGTGGAGTAATACCATCCTTACAAAGATGGAAAACTCCCACTTTAACAAGCACATCTGAATTGTGATGTATTTTTCCTGAATATTTTCTCTCTCCTGTGAATTTTTCTTAAGAAGTTCCTTGCTTAAGTAAAATATTTCTTCCTATAGAGTACTCTGCAAACAGGGGCTGCTAAGGTAGATATAATACTATTCCTAGATTATGATACCAAACTACAAAACAGTGCAAGAACAAAATTACTCCAATTCTCTACCAGAGAGAAAATACAGCCTATGTGAACACCCTAGTAACTCTCAGCATTACGGGAGCATGAAACCTCAGATCGAAAAAGTACTTACTGCAGTCACTAATTTGATGGCACACAGCTGTAGTTCACTGACATTTTCTACAAAGAAAGGTGTTATCCCCATTGACGATACCTAGCAACAAGAAGAAATTGTTGTAAGTATATTTGACTAACAAGCTGATATTTATGCAGTTTCACAAGTAGGTTATTCATTCATCAGATAGGGTATTCAAAAATATGTATTACTTCATATTATTAGCACATAAAAGTTATTGAAGGATATTCAAGAAGAAGTGCTATGAGAAGCGGCTGAGGGAACTGGGGTTGTTTAGCCTGGAGAAAAGGAGACTCAAGGGAGACCTTACCACTCACTACAGCTACCTGAAAGGAGGCTGTAGCAAGGTGGGTGTTTTTCACTTTTCCCAGGTAAAAAGTTACAAACGGGAGAAGGGGAAATGGCCTCAAGTTGCACCAGGAAAGGTTTAGCATAGCTATTAGGAAAGACTTCTTCACAGCAAGGGTGGTTAAGCACTGGAACAGGCTGCCCAGGGAGGTGGTAAAGTCACCACCCCTGGAGGTATTTAAAAGACGTGTAGATGAGGTGCTTAGTGACACAGTTTAGTGGTGGACTTGGTAGTGTTAGGTTTATGGTTGGATTCAACGATCTTAAAGGTCTCTTCCAATGTTAATGATTCTGTGTGATTCTATATTTGAATACAATCAGATTAAATTTTTCTTAAGTGTACAAGAAAAAGTATTAAAGATTTGAACATTAAATACTCTTCTCCTGCAGATTACCTACTACACAACAAACTAGTCACTCTGATGTTGACAATTCAAAAGCTTGTAATGATTTTATACTTCATGTCACTGAGACAATCTTACTTTACATTCTGGAAAATTAAAAAAAAAAAACAGACAGAAATTGTTCTGACAAAACTTACCTGAAGAATAGTTGTATCAGTAAGAAGCTGTATCTCTAGCAACTCTGACAAGCTGCTGACAATGTCACAAACTTTGTTGTACAACATCACTATAACTCTTTGCTTGTGGGTGGAACACTTGGCACGTTTTGCTTTTGAACTTAAAACACCACCTTAGAAAATAAAATACATTGTCATTGATATTTTCAGTGCTTCACATCAAACATGAGAAAAATGATCTGGCTCAAAAAGTGTCCCTGAAAAAACTGCATGCCTACAGCTTTGTAAAAGCAATTACTTACAGAATAAAAAAGATTCAGTAGCATCAGCTAGAAAGGAACAATTTAACAAGATACTAGTTTTTCATAATTACTCCAAACTGTAGATCCCAGATTTTAGAAAAGGTTTTTGAAGGTGGTCACCTGTACCTAAAAGTATGCATGTGGCAACAAACTGCTAAAGTATAAATAGTTTTATCTGAAGTAAACAATTATATACACAGAGATTCTGACTACAAAATTACTTATTCCTACCTTATATACATAAGTTAAGCTTCAGACAAACTTCTAAATATTTTAGCCTAAATACTCTGCTTACACTGACATTATTGTAGTAAACAAAGATGATGTATGACTAAGTTACTCAGAGGACACATTTCATTCAGTCATTTTTTACTCTGTAATTCATCATCCTCAAACTAACACAAAACAGTAATTCAGGATGCTGTACATGAAAGAACTATCAGTGGAAGAGTTGCATATAAAAAATCTTATTCTGGAAAGTCATACACTTGTACCATCATACAGTTGATTATGGTTTTCTATTTTTTAATGTAGAAAGATTTAAAAAATTTTCTTTGCATACTAACCACCATGCGGATCCACTCTATACACAGGATCATACTGAGGATAGAGAGTGTTCTGCAAATGAAATTTTGTGTATTGAATAACTCTTTCTATTACGTCCTCAATATATACAGCTTTAGGCATATTTGGTGATGTCATAATATTGATAGCAGTAAGACAAGCATCAGCAGATTTTGTCACTCTTTATTTCCATAATAAGATCTCTCCATAACCTCTCCTCATCTTCAGTGTCATTGTTCTGTAACAGGCAAGAAAAACAGGACAGTGTGAAGAAGTTGAATTTTTAACCTTACTAAGTAAAAGAGTATAAAACAGTAATATACTTACCTACATGCACATATAAAATGTTTCAATTTTTTATGATATAAACAAGTTTGTTTTAGAAATCAATTAATTTTTTTTTCACTCGCAACATGTTTGTAATATGTTTCCCTAAGTTACAAGTCTTCAAAGTCTCACTGTATTCTTCTTCCAGAACATGAAGAAGCTTTCTGCGTATCATTGGGAAGCACAATATGGGAAAATTATCACACATTCTTAAGACTTAAGACTGATAGATCTTAAGCAAAATATAAACTCATTCATCGTGTGTGTTTTCTTCAGTGGTCTACACACACCAGTTGCTGCTTCCATCAGTCTAATTTTTGCCAATAGAGGGAATTCTTACACAAGAATACTGTCACAAGTCACATGGAAGTCCTAGCTACTCAACCTTTTCTGCTTCCCAGAGGAACCCATCTACAAGGATTCTGTGAGGTTAAGCAGGGAGAAAATTAGAAGGGCCAAAGCCCAGCTGGAACTTAGACTGGCCACTGCTATAAAAGAGAATAGGAAATCTTTCTATGAATACATTAAGGAGGATCTCCATCCTTAATTGATGAGGAAAAGGCTGAGGTACTGAATGCCTTCTTCAGCTCACTCTCCAACTACTAGGACCAGTTTTTCTCTAGGTACTTCGCCCCCTGAGCCAGAAGACTGGGATGGGGAGCAGAATGAAGCCCACATAATCCAAGGGGAAGCGGTGTGATACCTCCTGCTCCACTTAGATGCAGATGAGTCTATGAGGCCAGATGGGATCCACACAAGGTTACTGAGGGAGCTGGCAAGTTCTCACCAAACCACTCTCCACCATTTATCATCACTCCTGGCTAACCTGGGAGGTCCCAGTGGACTGGATGTTAGCAAAGTGGACACCATCTACTTGAAGGGCTGAAAGGAGGATCCAGGGAACTAGAGGCCTGTCAGCCTGACGTTGGGTGTCAGGGCAGGTTACGGGGCAGAACATCTCGAGTGACATCATGAGACACATGCAGGACAACCAAAGGTTTAGGCCCAGTCAGGATGGGTTTATGAAAGGCAGGTCCTGCTTGACTAACTTGATCTCCTTCTGTGACCAGGTGACGAACATAGTGGATGTTGGGAGGGCTGTGAAATGCTGGGGTCTGAACCCCGAGCCCCTGAATTAAGGTTGGCATATGGGTGATTCCCACAGCCCTTCATCCAGAGGGGTGAGTTTGCCTTATAGCTCCCCCCCAGGGTGCGGCCGGCCCTGCAGGGAGAGCCACAAGGGAAATGAGCCCCAGGGGTCCCGCAGTGAGTTGACAAAGGTCAGGTGTCTGCTGGGGGATAAAAGCTGGGACCACTGGCAGGGAGTCAGGAGTGTCTGTCTGTGGAGTGCACTCCACAGAGCTTCCTGGTTCAGGGCAGACCTCCTGACTCTACCTGGATATGGGCCCTGGTCTGTTTAGACCTTTGCGAACGTGGGCGGATCGGGTGAGAGTCACCATGTGGGCACCTTTCTCTTATGTGTTCAGCTTGCTGGTCTGGCTGTTTCCCATGCCAACTGTGGGCAACCTCAGGTCTCTGTTTGTACCACCTGTTGTGGGCCGAGTTACGTCCTTTGTGGGATCGTTGGGGGTGGCGTCGATCATGTACCAGCTGATTGATCTGTTTGTACCCTCAGCGATCATTCATGGAATGTCCTCCTTGTCTACAATGCAGTCTGTGTATTGGTTCATGTGCCTGCTGGTGGTGGTATCATTGTTGTTGGGCCTGGTCATTGGCAAAACAGGCTGTGGCTGCAATCTAGGTTGACACTATTTCCCTCAGCATCCTCCTGGAGAAAAAGGTTGCTCATGGCTTGGATGTGTGTACACTTGACTGGGTAAAAAGCTGTCTGGATGGCCAGGCCCAAAGAATAGTGGTGAAGGGATTTAAATCCAGTTGGCAGCCGGCCACATGTGCTGTCTCCCAGGGCTCAGGATTGCAGCCTGTTCTATTTAATATCTTTATCAGTGATCTGCATAAGGGGATTGTGTGCACCCTCATTAAGTTTGTGGATGATACAAATCTGGGCAGCTGTGTAGATAAGCTTGAAGGTAGGAAGGCTCTTCAGATGGATCTGTAGAGGCTGGATCAGTGGGCCAAGGCCAATGGTATGAGGTTCAACAAGGACAAGTGTCAAGTTCTTCACTTGGTTCACAACAACCCCATACAGTGCTACACGCTTGGGGAGGAGCGGCTGGATGTCTGCGCAGAGGAAAAGGACCTGAGGGTGTTGATTGACAGACACCTGAACAGGAGCCAGCAGTGTGCCTGGATGGCCAACAAGACCAAGAGCATCCTGGCTTCTATGAGAAACAGTGTGGCCACCAGGACTAGGGAAGTGATTATGACCCTGTACTTGGCACTAGTGAGGCCGCATCTCAAATACTGGGTTCGTTTTTGAGTCCGCCACTCCAAGAAAGACACTGAGGTTCTGGAGCATCTCCAGAGAAAGGCAATGAGCTGGTGAAGGGTTTAGATAACAAGTCTTATGTGGAGCAGCTGAGGGAACTGGGATTGTTTATCCTGGATAAAAGGAGGCTCAAGGGAGACCTTATTGTTCTCCACAACTACCCGAAAGGAGGTTGAAGTGAGGTGGCAGTCAGCTTCTTCACCCATGTAACAATAGGGCAAGAAGAAATGGCCTTGAGTTGCACCAGGGGAGATTTAGGTTGGATATTATGGAAAATCTCTTTAGCAAAGGGGTTGTCAAGCACTGGAACAGGCTGCCCAGGGAGGTGGTAAAGTCACCATCCCTGGAGGTACTTGAAAGATGTGTAGATGAGGTGCTGAGGAACACGGTTTCACAGAATCACAGAATATTAGGGATTGGAAGGGACCTCTGGAGATCATCGAGTCCAACCCCCCTGCAAGAGCAGGACCATCTAGTCTAGGGCAGGTCACACAGGAACACATCCAGACAGGTCTAAAAAGTGTCCAAGGTAGGAGACTCCAAAACCTCCCTGGGGAGCCTGATCCAGGGCTCTGGAACCCTGACAGGAAAGAAGTTCTTCCTCATGTTGAGGTGGCTGCTCCTTGTCCTGTCCCAGCATACAAGTGAAAAGAGGTTGCCCTTTTCT